CAAAACAAAAGAGGGAGGGGTAAAAGGACGAATATCACCAGGGTAGGGAGAGACTAACATAAAGTTATTTTTGCTGACACAGGGGGGGGGAGCTATCATCGATGAATCGCAATTGCTTCGGCAAACCTTAGCAATCTTGCGAATTGTGACTTGTAGACAATTCGAAACGCTGTACCTTGGTCGACCTGGTGTTGCGTCATCAGCAGATGTCGAGCAATTGCTGAGGTCGGGATTTTGTAGTTTCGACCGTCGTTTCTATGCAGCGGACTTGACCTCAATTGGGTCAGCTGATTTTGGACCCAATTCGGAATATGTTCCATCACCCGATTACGTAATTGTCGCTCTGTTCCGCCCACCTAGGTTGCTCCGCAACCACATTGAAATGGATAGATTAGATTAGAGTTGGCGTACAGAGGCAGACGTTCTTTTGTCGGTGTGGGTATCCTGGTTGTTCGGTAGACGATTTGGGGGTCAGCTGCGTAGTAGGTTCGAGCGATTGCTGACCTCAGTCGTTTGTAGAGCAGGCGGTTTACGTCATCACCTTTGAATTGAAGGTGTAATTTGACCCGCAATTCGGGGACTGACGCAATCGGTTCTTCCGCAATTTTCGGTTTGCTATGCTTATTAACAAACGCTTCGGGGTAAGCGTTTTTTGCTAAAAACTCCCGGAGGTTTTGCAGTTCTTGTTCGGTTCTGTCTTCCGTGCAGATTCGCCTCGTTCTGTCAAATAAGGTTCGAACAAGACCACATTTATACTCCAGGGGCATAAAGCTCTCGAGGTGTAAATATTTGCCTGTCCACGTTTCCTTTCGATAAACGAACGGATCGAGCAATCGTTCCGTTTTCTCTTCTGGTCATGCTAATAACAAGGAAATCGAGTGTGTTGTTAGATTCATATTCCATTGTGAAGTGTATATTTGGATGTAGTCTGTTGCGTTCATCCATTATTTTCGTAGCTTCTTCTAAGCTTTCTTTTTTAACTAGTCGTCGACGTATCGTTTGTACAGGATAGCGCGCCCCAGAATATTAATTCCTTTCCCTTCCAGATGTGCCATGAACAAGTCTGCCATGACTGGGCCTAGCGGGCTGCCCATAGCGACACCATCGATTTGCCTGTACGCATTCCCTTGAAAAGAGAAAGACACGTCGGTTGTGCAAAGCAGTAGTCGACGCTCAAGTATTCGCTCATTATTTTCCATTTATCTGTCACCACAATAGATATTTAACGAAATACACCACGTGTTTTGCTCGACATTCGCGTAGTCTTATAACTCTTCCGGTGTTCGAACATGTTCGCACCTGTTTCAAAATTGAACCATCTTCTCCGGCTCTTCTAAAATATAGTTCCGAATGGAAATACCGGTTTCCAGTTCGCAAGAAAAAACATTCGGTAGTTGAATGTGAAAATGTGTCCCATGCACAGTGTGAATGCTCTTTATATTTGTGGTATGTAGTTTTGGTGTTCCCGTATTACTTACTCGCGAGAATTCATGGTGAGTGGTCTATTCTCTGATTGCACACTTCACATTCCTTTTCAATTTGCGAATTTTATTCAATGCATATTGAGTCACACGGACGAGCGGTAAGCGAATTGCTAGTTGCGCTGTGTCGTATTACCTTACTTGTAGTTCCTCTTTCATAGTCTGACAATTTATTCAAAGCATTTGGCAACCACAAGTCCAAGAATCCAGTTACAAAAGAAGTTGAAGTTGGCTGGAACGGAACGACAACATTGGTGATCTGAAAAGCTAGAGAGTGGTATGCAGCTGTTACGATCTAGTGGGAGGTTTCGTCAATTGGACGAATCCATTCAATCAAATGAGCATTGAACCCAATCAGGTCGAGACAGTTGTACAGTACTTCCTAGGTTTTCGCTGATAGTCGTTCATGCAAACATTATCTGCTGATCCTCGTGCCTTTGGACCACAGTTTGTCAGCACTCGTCCCGGTATTCGTTCTGAACCGAGAAAGGCACATTTCTGTTTTAATGGATGATGAGGTTGCAAAGTGTAAATGCAGGTTACCTGGTCATTGCTCACGGTAACCAGATCATCCGGTTGCTTCTTTTGATACTTTGGCAGTTGTGAGTACAGGTCGAACCGATTAGATGAGTGTTTGCGTGTATGTTTCCTTCTGGTGACCAGGGTGGTGGGATGGGGCTCTCGTTTTTGACTAACAATGTATCACGTAGACTTGTTATGGAGATCATATTGTCCACAAAATTCTTTGAGGTGAACGACAAAACGTATGGGAATTATTTTTTTTCGTCCTTGGTTACTCTGCGTACATTTGTGCCCCAGTTGGGATTTGGATGGGCGAACTTAGGGGTCGGGAGTCGAAACCCTTACCGCCTAGGTGCACGGTTGACGGTCAAAGCCTTGAGCGAATGACTATACCAGTTTGAGATGTTATTCCCTTCGATTTCGAGATGCATCCAGAACATTGAACCTTCTGAAGTGTTTTTTGCCTCCGGGTTCGTGCTGAGTTCTGGAGGTCGTGGATATTCAGAAGTCGAGCTTTTGTAACATTCCTAGGGAATTCCAGTATCCTGTTGTTAGTTGAGGTGACAAGCTGGATAGTTAACCCCCACGGACATCTGTCTTGTGGTTGTCACATAAAAACCATTAGCAAAGCCGATGTGATCACGTTTGTGTGCTCCTCAGGCAATTTATCTTGTAGAAAAGCATCAGTCCTGTTTACTAATTTTTTTTTCTTGTGATAGTTTGTTACTTGTTCCACTTTTTCAACTCTTATTTCCAAATTCAGTATTCTGATGTCGGATTTAGACCATTTGAACTGGTTACCCGTGTCGCTAATTTCTGTCTCCCTGCCTTCCTTTTTCTTGGTTGGCATTCAGGCTCGAGACCAGGCGAACACACTCTTGACGGAATTGGAATCGCTTAAACAACAGCTGAACAATGCGCGACAGGAGAAACATCGCACAACGGTTGAGAACGGGGAACCGCAATCAGAGACTCAGGGTAGTACTGCCACCACCGTAACGACCGATCTGGAAGCAAGTGAGGCTGACACAAGCGAGACCGCGGGTAAAGCTGTGTCAAACGGGAATCGGGACAGTGCGTTGGAAGAGCTCCGATCAAAACTTAGCCAAGCGGAGGAACGAATTCACGAGATGGAGGCCAATATGAGTGAAACTCAGGCAGAACTACAGCGAGCCCGACAACGTGAACGCCTGAACGAAGACCATAGCTCCCGGTTGACTGCCACGGTAAGCGATGTGTCATTTTTACTGTTCTCAGGCTGTTCCGCACACACACACTCGATACATGATGAAGGGGGAGGACCTTTCCAATCTCGTCATTTACCGGTTTACGGAAAATCGCGATCGATCAGCGCGCAATCAACTTTCTGCTGCTATTGTGTGTGTTCTGTGTAATTCTTGAAATGGGCCTGGCTACAATGGCATTCCAGCTGACAGGCCCATTACATCCTGTCATTGCAGCTGAGAAGTGGGCGCACGCTTGTGAATTTGTTGCAATACTTCTACTTTCTCTCACTCTGTCTAGGCATGCAAACTACCGTGTTTAATGTGCGTGCATTTGTGTCTCCGTCACGTTTTGCTCGCCAATTCGATTGCGCGGTTGATCGAAAATAAATTTCCCCGACGAAAAATTACTCAACCCCGTCAACACGCGGTTTTTTTCTGGGTGGCTGTGCAACTGTCATTGTCACTCGGATTCTTCGAAATTTGCGCCAAAAGTGCACGAGATAGATACGCGATGAATGTCAGTTATATATATATATATATATATATATATATAGCCACGCCTCACGCACGCACACATTTTCGCCTTTATACCAGTCACTGAATTGGTGAGTCATTCACAAGATGTGTGGAAGTTCAAGGGATCAAGGGATCCACAATCTGAATAGTTTGGTAGACACACGTGTTAAAGATTGGGTTTTGCATACAACATTTGGTTTGGTAGGCGTGACGGCAGTTGCCGTTTCTCATTATGCGCACCCCCCTTCCACCAAAAAAGAAACGCAGCGTCTGTTTTCTCTTCCACCACAATCGCTGGAAGGGAATTCCAGAGTGTTGTTGACCTAC